GGGGCGCGGCCTGTCTCGCCGCAGGGGCTGCCTGCGCTGGAGTCCTGGCTGTTCCTGCAGGTGCAGCGGTTGCCTTGAGTTCACAGGTTAATTTCATCTCGGGCAAATCTCACAGAAGCCCCGGTGACTTGTGGCAGAGCTCATTTCCAGGTCATGCAGGCCTTCCGAGCACATCCTTGCAATCATTTTACCAAGCTGAGCCAACGAACAGCAACTCACTCTCACACCATCAAACTGACCTGTGCATGCAACTCTTCCACAGTTTCCTTGCATACACGTGTAGTCCAGTGTCCTGCTTTGAGCCAGGATGAACAACTTTCTTTTTACTATTTTTTTTCTTCAGTGAGCTCTTTTAACTAGTAGTAAGTTTTCCAGCCAGTGGAATGGAAACACTGGAGTGTTTATGTTACTGACAAGACTCAAGGTCCCGTTTTTACTCTGCCAGCTCAGGGGCTACCAGGAGAACCGGCCCCCCCCCCGCAGGAGGCTGAGTTAGACAGCAAAACTGGCCAGAGATATTCCATTCCATAGAGCTACGTAAGCTCAGAGGAAGGACAGAGATCACAAGACAACTTCCTTCCTGCTTCTCCCCTTCTGTTCTATCCATGGACGTAGTCCTCCTTGGATTTAATACTTTCACAGGAACTATTATTTCTTTCATTATCCTATGTTATTCTCTTATAGTTTGTGTTTAGTCAGATTTTTGAAATAGCCACAGAATTAATTTTTGAGTGTAAGTTTCACCCACGGGGTGAGACAAAAGGTTTTCCTACAGCACATTTAACATGCTTTCCATAGGTTTACAAGAGCCAGCTTCTCAAACTCAAAACTTTAGACTTTTATCTACTCTTCTGAATGGACAGATTCAAGTTAATCCTTTCAGTTTTAAGGGCCATTATTAAATGCAGTTAATATGACAAATACATGCTCTCCATATTTGTAAAACTGTCTCCTAAGTCCATATCTACAGTTCAGCTTCATATTCACTAGGATATAAACACAATAAGGCATAAAAAGGGCTTCCAGAAACACCTGACATCTTGCTGCACCTGAGATCACTGTGCCCATCATCCTGTAAGGCATTTTTCCCTATAATCAAAAAAGCAAATTTAAGCTAACTGTGAAGTCTCTGAGAATACTCTGACATCTGGAACAAGAATTTACATTGACTTCTCTCTTTGTAGAGAGATGAGCAGAACATTTGAATTTACTGCAGATATAACACCTGATTTTGATATGAAATACATGCATTCAGTCTTTGTATGGCACACACAAACGTGTCGTTCACTTTTATCTTTATTTCAACAAAAGTAAATTTAATTCCAGCTTTCATTGGAAAAATATGAGATAATCAATGCAGAAGCCATTTCCACAATTACTCCATTTGTCCTTCACTAACCTATATATGAACAAACTGCCTTGGGCTATTTATATCATAACAACAAGAAGAAATATTTTCTAAGTATTCCAGCACAGCTACTTCATCTTAACCCTCAGTGGAGTAGAGGACAAACCCCTTCAGAATGAAAGTGTGGCTCTCATGTACTGTCTGAGTAACTGGACACTTCCACAGATACAAAATATTTAGGTAAAGCACAACAAAAAGGAGGAATTGAGGTATGGAAAAGCTGTTAACCAATCTGTTCATAGACCACTTTTCTCTAACGTTGTGATTCTTTATAACATCCTTCCACACCCCCAGCAGCACAGTACAGGAGAAGCCTGATCCCACTATAATGCTACTTAATACTGACTAGTGCTCATTTTCAAGGAAGCCATGGTACATTTCCTCAGCTGTAATTCATCCTTCTTCCCACTCTTCAGAGGAAGTAGCATTTTCAATTACAACAGACAGTAATCCAGGAGAAAGGCCTGTGCTTGCATTCAGCTTTTAAAAACACAAGACAGTGACTGGTGAGTACAAGTATTAATACGCAAGAAAACGTTATCACTCAAACCCTCTTCACTGTGAAGAGGGTTGAGACTAGGAAGGCTTACAGAATACTGAGAGTAAGAAAGAATCAAAAGCAATATTCAAGGCATACACAAACTGAAGAAATGGTGCTTTGAAGTCCATACATTTTTTTCCCTACCTTTACAAGACTTACAGTGTGATACAGAGATAAAAGCCGGTGTGTATGTGGGGAAGGTCTGCACTTAGTACTTTTTCTAAATTAAGTTCCACAGTTTTGTTTTTGTTAAAAAAAGTAATTTATAATGTAATACCTGTTTCAGGATTCTTTATATCTGTGGTGCTGTTAACACTGCACTTGACTGGCATTATCCATTTTTAAAAAGAAATTTAAAAGCAGCTCTGAACTTTGCTTCTGGGATGGAAGCACAATCTGTGAACCAACAATGATTCCTGTCAATCTTGCTTTGCATCTTTCAAGGCCTGAAGTCTTTCTAAAAGGGGGGGATGGGAGTAATGCCACATTGAAAATAGCCAGTCAGAAACAGGGAATCCTAAATTATCTTTGTTTAGCTTGATCAAAGCAGAATATAGGTCTTTAGCTTTCCCAAGCTCCTTGGCAAATGCATCTGCTTGGAACTCAAATCGTCGGCTTAACACAGTCAAACAAAACGAGAGAACCTGTGGAGAGAAATATGTTACAAATATTATAAAATTCAGCTGTCTACAAGATCTGTACAGTATCGGAAAATACTCCTGTATCTTCCCGCAAACCACACATCTCTGTGTCTGTAGAATAACCTCACTAAGGTTTATCCAGGCCACACTTGACACTGGGAGTCTTACCCAACATGGAGCACTAAGACTACTTATTAAAATTAAATTCCAGATAGAGCCCACAGAAACTTCAAACTTTACCCTTCAGTCAAAATAAAATCTTTATTTAAATAGCATGATACTTCAGCATCTGTATCTTGTAAACAATTTACCTCATTGTAAGGTGAAAAAATGAATTGGAAAATAATCATCAAGCCTATCAGGGTAGGCTGGGTGTCATAGAAACCAAATGCAGCAAAGAGTTCTTTTCGACCAATTAACACCGCAAACAAGAAGAAGCACAGGAAGGAATTCATCTAGGGAAAGGAAACAACATTCTTGATTAAGATGAGTCTAAAACATGGCCTACTCATACTACATATTTGCATAGATATTCTACTAAAAAATTACTTTAGAACTAATATACAAAGAGGAACAAGCAGCTGGCCTTTACCTGCTTCCTGTGACTGCATGCAATCTATTTTCTGTCAGGGCAAAGAAATATAATCTAGGTAGTAAAGGAAGATGAAAAGACACAAGGAGGGAAGGGAAAAGGAGGAGTATGGCATAGAATCCATCTCCTTGGAATTAAACATAGGTTCCAAAAAGTTTAAAACCAAACACATTTTGTCTGTGCTGTGTCCTACTTCTATTGCTGAAAACAACCTACACTTCAGTCCAAGCTATGCACTCCTGTGTACAAGCACTGTTCTTGCCTGGCTTTTCAGAGGCCAGAGGCAGAGCTGTGCCTCACCGAGTTCTCTAGAGAAGATCAGTATATTTTCAGTCAGTTCAAGTGGCTCTTTCCTCTTTTTAGAGTACTGTAGAAGGTGCCAGAATATTCTTTGTTATTGAAACACAAAGGACAGAAAAAAAAAAGAGGGATGGTTGTGGCAGATCAACAGAAAAAACAGATCAACAGAAAAAGTAGAAAACATTGCATTTTTGAAAACTTCTGGAAGTGAAGATAAAAATCTACATATTGCAGCAAAATAATAGTATCTAGGTACTAGATACCTAGTATCTATCCATCTAGAAAGGGGATCCAAAGACAAAAGTTACATGAGTTAGCAGAGTAACAAAAGCATCATAATAGTAGGGATCAAGACTGATGTTTGAAGTTGGAAGGTACCTTCAAGCAGAAAGCAAGAAGGACCCCATTGAAGTGTTCAGTTGCATTCACCAAGAAAAAGCCAGTGTGGAAAGGGAAA